TAAGATTGATTTTCATCCATCATTGAAACTTATAAACTATTATAAGTACAGAAGGTTGAAGCCCAATCACCAAAGTTCAGTTTAGTTGTACACTACATAATATCAAGTTTGAATCTTTTCCGCGTTTAATAGAAACATCTTTCTTTTCTTTGTTTGACATGTATATTACACTAGCCAAACATGCTTTAGCTTCAACCTTTTTTGAGTGTTTATATATATATATATATATATATATATATATATATATATATATATATATATATATATATATATATTCCATGACTATTAACTCAATTAAGGTTGGCTTTAGTTTATATTTATATTGTATGGTATCCGATTACAAATGTTTATCTTGAAATAAACTTTGAATGCATGGTATCTCATTGCAAATGGTCATCTTAAAATTAGCTTTTAGTTTATCCTAATGTTCTTGATTTCAAATAGGGTGTAGGAATTATATTTGAATGTTTAGTTTCTGATTTGTTTACAACCTTGAACTATACTACTATACATGAAGATTACTATCACACAAAATCAAAATGAAATTATCAATCTAAAATAAACGTGTATTTCATGATTAATTTATTTTCAAATAAGGTGTTGACTGCTATTTCAAAAATACAACGTAATAAACGTGCATTAGACTAAGTTTGTTTAATACCATTAAATAAAAAAGCTTGTATAAATATTCAACCAGAACGGTTTTGCACTAATGTAATGGTAACCCTTTCTTGATTTGCTTTAAATTTGTTAAAAATTTTAACAAGTAAGAAGGTTTAGTATTGTCACGACTAGAAATTTTGGTGCCTTGTAACTACAACACTTATGTCAATTATGAATCAAAAACATGAAAGCATGTATGATGCATACTCTATGACAACAAAATTTCAATCAAACACAACATGCAAGCAATTCAAGTGGTCAATAAGCAATTGGAACCCCTAGAAGTTCCTGTTTAAGTCCATTTTGGACTAGGACTTCCTTATTGGGCCCAATGGACCAATAAGCTTCCAATTTGACCACCTTGGGCTTAGAACTCTTAAATGGGCTCTAATTGGACCTACTTCCATGTATTTCAATATTTTGGGCCATATTGGGCCTAGAATGAAATAAATTAATTATATGAACCATTTTGGGGCATAATTAACCCAATTGAGCCCTAATAGGTCATAAAAATCACACTTATATTTATTAGGAACAAAAATCACTCAACATAACTATGAAATTGGGCTTAAGCCTTTAAGGCCCAAAAACTCTCTCTTCTCTCTCCATTCTCGGCCCAAGCCCAAAGGAAAAGAGGAGTTGACTTTTCCTATGCCACCTCACAATTGCCTAAAGGATTTCCATGCAAAAATAACCCATACATCCATGCATTTCCCATACTTCCATGCAAGCACTCTCTTCTTCTCCCTCTCTCTCTTGCTCTCGGCCGAATCCAATCGCACACACACACACACACACATTTCACTCACAATTCTCTCAAGAAACTCTCTCATTTCTCCTCCATATTTTCGAGATCCAAGAGGTGTTCAAGGGATTTCTTCCATAAAAATCATCATCTAAGGTAAGATATTGCTTGGATCCATAAGCTAGCTATTTCATTTCATTCAAAAATCATCTCTTAATTCATTCAAACTTATGATCTAGCACCTTAGAAGCATCCAAGTTCGAGATCTTTCAAGAAAGGTTGCTAGCATCGAATTCTTCTCATTTTTTCCTTCCAAAACCGAAACCACACCCAAGGTGAGTTTCATACCCCCTTCTTTTCGGTTTTTATGAGTTTTTATGGGGGAGAATACAAGTAAATGTGTAGATCTATGTGTAAATGTATGCTATGTGTGATTTGATGCATGTATGTGTGTGATATCTTGTGTTTGTGATGAATATGCTATTCAAAAATTGTGTAAAACCGAGATCTAAAACATAGGGAAGGAAATAAACATAACTTAAACTATTTTACATTAATCAAGTCAAGAAAAATAGTTTATATGGTTAGGATGTACATACTTGAACATAAAACCCATTTTAGGGCTTAAATTGTCAAAAACACAAAACTTGGGGTCCAAACTGACAAATTATAAATTCTAGAGGATAAGAAGGGTCCAAACAGTTTTTAAAATAATTTTTCTGAACCCATTTTAGGGCTTAAATTGTCAAAAACACAAAACTTGGGGTCCAAACTGACAAATTATAAATTCTAGAGGATAAGAAGGGTCCAAACAGATTTTAAAATAATTTTTTTGAATATCAACATTTTTGAGGGGCTTAAAATGTAAATTTTTAATCTAATGAGCTAAATTTGGGATTTTCGGCCCAATAAGCTTCAAAGTACGAAATTTCTAAATTGAGGGGCTGGAAATGCAAATTTCTGTAAAACAACGGATTTGAAGTGAAACAAAACTATTCCAATGGTCAAAAATGCTTTTCAAATTCAAAAAGGATCAAAAATGTAAAAGTTTTCTACTTTGGGCCAAAACTGTCAAAGTTGCAAAATTTAGGGTTTCAACCGAGAAAACATTATTCTGATAGGACTAAAGCTGTTTACAAAAATAAATTTGGGCTAAAAATGTCTTTTCTATAAATTTATGATACAAAAGTGTCAAAATAATGTTTTAAGGACTAAAATGAAATTCTTTTATATAAAGGACTAAAAGTGCTACTTTTTTTATAAAAGAAAGGTTGTGAAAAAGTAAAAATTCTTACTTTTAAACGAATTAATTCATCAAGACAAATATGAGATCCGTGACTACCGGCGAAACGTAATAACAAATACACTTTCAACACCAATATCGTTACCGAACGAATTGATTCGGTCTCGAATCAATAACAAATCAAAAATCAATAAACGATAGTACTTCAATAAACACGTGAAATCTACGAGGAGTCAATATTCAATCTTTGGGCTTGAAAGTTTCAAATCGTGCTTGTTGGGCCTTGCTAGCCCAATAACATGATCTTTAGGCCTGAAGGGAACGCGCTTGCATGTTATCGGGTCTTCTATGACCTAATTCCATGTAAAAGGACTTTCAATAGCTCTATTGTGCTGTTGGGCCCTAATGGTCCACTAGTACTGCTAGTAAAGTCGAGAAGTCAAATGCGAGTCGGGCCAAGTGCCTTTCGCATTCCCGATAGCCTTGAATAACTTGTGGAAATAAAGGAGGCTTCTTACCCTCCTTTCTCCTCGGTTGTTCGGCTTACGAGAACTCGAGTAATCAGATTCGTGACGTTAAACAAGAGAAGCCAGGGTGATTAGATTACGTGAGTAGTATGGACGACGCCTCAAGGATCGTTCGTAATTTGTAGTTATACACTAGTCATTTTCATTAATGCGTGATTATAACAACTCACAAACTTTAAGTAATCCAATGTCACCTGGGTAATCAAAAACATTCGCCGTATCGCTATAACAGTAAACAAGTCATGTAATTTGCGTATTAGGAAAACATCGGGTTTTCCCGGAAAGTTCAACATTCTCACCTGCGTGATGTATACATAGTTCAACAATTATACATGTTTTCAAAATCGACAAGCATATTTACGGATCTCCACACTTTTTATAAACAAATACTCTTTTCAGAAAAAATCGGATTTTCTGGGTGTTTCAACTTCACGAAAAATCATTTTCTATAACATTACTTATGAACTCACCAACATTTCATATGTTGACGTTTTCAAAATAACTTGTATTTTCAGGTAACAGGTAAACAGAAGAATATGTATCAAACTATGTCATGGTGTTTTGTTTAGATTAATTATCAAACGGTTTATGTTATGGATTTGTAATGTTTAAAACAATGTACTGAATGTAAACTATATCAGTTGTAATATTTCAATGCATGTTGATGAATGATTGTTATGATTCATGTATAATCATTGTGATGGTATTCAATTAAGTCACAATAGCCCTCGGACGTTTCCGCCGTCTGGTTCGGGGGTGTGACAAGTGTTTTGGTTTGACACACTAATAACTACTAATTCTTACATGCATTTAAAACCATTATATTGAATCAGTCAAGTTTATATAGACCTTTGGTTTTATTACATAAATGAAAGGTAAGAAAACATGTTTGAACCTGAGACCCTTAGACCTTTGGTTTTATTACATAAATGAAAGGTAAGAAAACATGTTTGAACCTGAGACCCTTAGTTTGTTAAACCAACACTTTTACCACTGGACCAAGCTCTAAGTTGTCTTTCTAAGACAAGAAATATATATATATATATATATATATATATATATATATATATAATATATATATATATATATATATATATATATATATATATATATAATTAACATAATAAGCTTTAAAATTGGGGACCCTAAGCCATTGTTTAGTTTTGTAAATGGTAGAGTCGGCCCCGTATGCTAGTAAGTTGTTTGTAAATCAACCAAAGTAGAATATTTGTTGATGATGTAATTTGATTGTAATAGTTTTTTTTTTCTATATTAGTTTGATTGAAATAAGGATATTTATAATAATTAAATTTTAATAAGTTATATTCTTAAAGATTACAGCATGTCAAATCATTTTCTTATTAGGTTGCTTAAATTATTAAATAATCAATCTTAAAAAAGTCTACAACTTATGTTTTGAAAAAGTTATTGCTTAAAGAATGGTGTATGCAGTTCCAAACTTAGTCTGAAATTACTCAATAAGTAAATGAGTAAATATCTCATTCCTAAGCAATTTTTAAGGTTGTAAACGAACCAAACGTTTGACAAAATGTTCATGACCGTTCGTTAGTATGTTTGTTTATGTTTCTTTATTTAATAAACGAACGAACATTAACAAGATTTTTTGTTTGTTTAATTAAACAAACAAACATTAACAATGGCCTCGTTCATTTAATTAGGTTCGTGAATGTTTGTTTATGTTTGTTTATTCATTTGTTAACATTTGTTTATGTTTGTTTGTTAACATTAATCTTAAATGCAAAACCATGCACCAAATTGTTATTATCATTAATGTTGGTGTTAGTAAATGGTTTAATAATAGATGGTGAATTTAGGAGCCAAAAAGTTTGAAATTTTTAAGGGGTCGTTTGATTTAAACTTACCGGGTCCGGTCAGTGCTGACTGCTGACTCGATCATCAGTCGGATGTTTGATAAATTCATAATATAGCTGATTCGGTCAGCCCAATCAACTTAGCCGGTAAGCAAAAAAAAAAAAACTCACTGGAAAATAAAGCTACACGTTTTTGCCCTTTGCCCTCGCTCGCTTCCTTCGCCACTCGTCAGTACCCTAGACAAAAGTTGCTCCCCTCCATTGCCAACACCTACTGATCGCCTCCTCCATCGCGATTTCATCTCCTCCCCCGTCTTCTCCGGCGACGACGCACGCACGCCGGCGACTCCTCTGCACCGGCGATGAGCAGGTAAGCATATCGCGATTTCTGCGTTATTTTTTTTTTTTGCTTTTCTTTTTCTGAAATCACAAAACCTTGATTCCTATTCTCCTCTGCTCAAATCGATTTTATGTAAGCATATGTTATATATATATATATATATATATATATATATATATATATATATATATATATATATATATATATATCACATTCGCACATTACTTTAATTCTTATTCTCCATTATTCAACCTTGATTCTTTACCTCTTATGTTTCAAAAATCTGAGGTGATTACTTTTTTACAGGAGAAAAACATTTTTTTTTGCTTTATAGCCAGTCGACCAATCATTCCTCCTCTGCTCAAATCGATTTTATGGCCATTTAATTTGTTTGTTGAATTTGTATGTTTTTAGCATGTTTGTGGTTCTGCGGTAATATGACCAAAGTCCATATAAATAGCAGCACATGACCAAATTGCCCCTGTAAATAGTAGCACATATAAAATTTCTGTTTATTGAAAGAACTTATGTTGAAATGAACTTATGTTGAATATGTTGTACATGTTGGATTCAATTAGTTTAAGGGGTTGATGAAATGAAGTTGATTTATATGTAAATGTGTGTTATGTGGATGATTAGCTATTTTTTTTTCCTTTTTACAATAAACATGACAGATAAAAGAATTAGGGTTAGTAGGAAGTCGAAATTGGTGGACAAAACGTTTTTGGAAGCATGTATACAAGAATTAACAAGCAATGACCGGGAGGGTAGTGGCCTAAAAGCAAGCTCATGGGCTGTGGTCGCGGAGAAATTGAAAACAGGTCATAATTTTGTTGTCGAGAAAAAACAAATGAAAAACCGATACAACTATTTAAAAGCAAAATATGCAGTGTGGTTAAAACTTAAAAACAAAATAGGAAATATTTATGATCCTGTAACGAATTCTTTTACCATGACTAATGAAGAATGGGAAGCGGAAGCGAAGGTACATATATACATATTTTTTTAATTAGATTATTTTTTAATACTTTAATAATATTTATTAAATTTTCAAATAGGTTAACAACTATATAGATAAGCTGAGAAATGCACCCCTCTTTTGCCCTGAACTTTGTACCCAACTATTTGAAGGGGCGACCTCGACTGGTGTTCACAGTTGGGGGCCATCTTCGACACTACCTCATCCCAATGAAACCTTCAGTACACATGATTTTCAGGATACAGAGATGGAAGAGCCAACACCTCATACAGATATCCCAAGCTCAACAGTACCTCAACCTACTAGTGAGGAATCATCTGGGCGGACAAAAAACAAGGGGGGCAAACGAAATGGTCCTAAAGAAACCACACTTATCCTTTTCCAGTGCAAAGAGACATAGTCATTGCTTGTGTTGCGGTCCATAATTTTATAAGGAAATACGATATTGAAGATCAATTATTTCCGAACTTTGAACAAAACACTATGGTTACTCCTAATGTGGGTGGTGGAGGAAGTGAGGGCCAAAACATAGAAGGGATAGAATGGGGTTCAGAAGCCGTTGATTATATGATTGTTTTGCGTGACCAGATTGCTAATCAGTTATTTTCAAATGATTGATATTAAATGATGTACTTTTTTTTATTATGTATGACAATTTGTATTTGGATTTTGTATTACACTTTGTATTTGGATTTTAATTGATGCATGTTAAATTTGGATTTTATATGATAATTTTTGTTTTTATAATTTTTTTTATCCAGCTCAAGAAACAACACAAGGGTAATATGATCATTTTTTTCATTCAGCACAACCTTTCAGATAAATAATCAAACAACATAAACTCAGTCAAATATGGACTCAGTCAGTATTTCTAACCCAATCAGCTTCTAACCCAGCCAACAACTATCAAACGACCTCTAAGTTTGATTTCGTGAAGATATTTTGGAGATGATATTTACACTTTAATTTTAGTTATTTTTGGATTTTGGACGCCTTGCGTTCTAGAATTTGTGTATAAATAATGTATTGATTTATGGTTACCCTTTTGAATGGTTATGCTATTTATATTCATTAATCGGTTAATGTTTATTTATATATGTTAGTTTATGTTCGTTGATATTCGTTCATTTATCTCTGTTTGTTTATGTTTGTTTAACATATTAATGAACAG